AGGAATGTTTGGGCTGCAGTGCTGCTGTGAGTACAATTTCACCATTTATGACCCCTCCAGCCCAGAATTCTGCTCACATTAACCCTTGATGTGCTTCCATGTACTAGTAAAGCTTTTTATTGACCATTATTTCTTATGAAGGCTAATACACATGGCTCCTCGTGTTCGTTAGCATGTTGTGGCCACGCTTGCGGCCATATTGAGTGGGACAACTCAGATTATTAACGTGCTGGATTAGTCTGACCCTAGTTCATTATAATACTATATTGCTGTGTAGTGTGTGTAGGGAAATGCCGCGGGTGGCGCACGTGCAGTTGAGCCTTCTCGGCCAAACCTCTTACTTCTAACTAAACCGGAAGTCAGGTCGCTGGAGATGTCGAGGAGTTGGAGTTTTTGACAGAACACCGGCTCGATTCTGGGCGGAACGTACTGCCTCGCATTGCGGCCGGCTCACTTTTTTTGTGGGGCAAGAGGGGGCGTGGCGGGCCATTGAAGTTAATGGCACCGTAGCCACGCCCTCCGGCCGCAATGCGAACGGCTGCACGGGATTGCAAGGCACATTATGCCTGCGATCCGGTGCGATCAAAATAGTGCTTGCAAGGCACATTATGTCTGTGGTCCGGTACAGTCCGATGCGATCAAAGTAGCAGCATTTTGATCGCACCGGACCAGAGGCATAATGTGCCTTGCAATCCCGTGCAGCCGTTCGCATTGCGGCCGGAGGGCGTGGCTACGGTGCCATTAACTTCAATGGCCCGCCACGCCCCCTCTTGCCCCACAAAAAAGTGAGCTGACCGCAGTGTGTTCCGGCCAGAATCGGTCCGGAACGCACTGCATCTGGTCTGAATGGGCCTTAACAGTATGCCCTTTTGGGGTTCCAAAATTTTACAAAAACAACAGACAACATCCTGGAAGATATTAAATGCAGTTTTGTGTGGCAACTCCTGCAAAAAGTCCCATGATCTTGCTCTGGTTTGTTAGGACTGTGAGTCAGTGGATATCACTAGAGGATGCACCTAAAGATGGAAGTGTCCTAGCTGTGTCAATATTCTGGGTCACCAAACAAGTATGCTGCTATTGTGTAACACTGGCCATACATTGCTCAGGGTTCAGCTGATTCATGCTCAATCAAATTTTGTTGAAAGAGCCGGTCTGAAAATTATTTGATGCATGGTACCTGCATCCAGTAAAATGGAGGTGCTATTCGAGTATTCAAGAGCCGAGGCAGCAGCAGTTGCTGAATACAATAGCCTAGCAAGGGAAATTTCCCCATTCATGCTGTTTAGCATTAATGGAGGAATTGAGCATTTTTAGTTTCTTTTTTTTATCATATAGCCTGTGGGGCTGAATAAGAAAAAGCACCAGGTGTACGGCCAGCTTAAAAGGAGAGTCGGAACACCTGATCTGCATAACTGTTCGAAGAACGTGACTTACATTTTTTGGATCAAAAGAACAGCCGCCATCATGCATTTTTCAAAAAGAAAGTTCAGCAATGGCAGGCTACTAAGAAAAGAAAGTTCAGCAATGACAGGTGATTTATGTTGTGAACTGGCCCTTTAAGCAGCCACTGGAAATCCTCAGGTTGCCTCACCTTGTCCAAACAGGTTGCAGGCCAGCACTCAGGCCCCGCCCCTTTCCCCTGATCACATTAACCCTTGTCCCTCCCTGCTGTAGTCTAACTTTCAAGCCTACCTGTGTTTGCATTTCCTGATCACGTGACACATCAGCAAGTTTCTGCACGAGGTACAGATGGCGAGGAAAAAAGGTGAGCTCTAAAACTGGCCAAGGGGTCCTCCCGAATGCCTTTGTCGCCCCTTGTTAACCCTTCCTGTCCCTTCACCTTCCTCCTGTTGCTAACGTCACTTTTTTTGCCCGTGACCCCGACTTGTCAGTCTCTTGGCAGCGCAGTGGCCACAAACTGAAAGTTCACAAAGTCACCAGCCTGGAAAGTCTGAGTCAAAGCGAAACCTTTTTTTTTTTTCTTTGTATTTGAAATTAAATGATGTGACTGTGTTTGGGGAACGCAGGTTTGTGATCGGGAACTGAAATCTAAAACCGAATTGATTTATTGGACAAGCTGCAGAATTCTGGGTTGTAATAACCTTGGATCAAAGAACGAACTATTGCTGTGCATGTGACTCTGGTGATACCATACGATAAGGGAAGTACATGGGTGGTGCGCAGGAGAAGGCGACTTTTGTGTGTTTTTGTTATTTAGGGGACATTTGTCATAAGAGGAATACAGAGCCAGCCGTGGCTCACCACCTGAAAATGCTAGTTGCCTGGCTGTTAAGCCAACGCATCAGTACATTATGGTCCTCACTCATCATGCTTCAAGTACCACTTACTCTTTTTTTTGCCCCCGTCCCCTGACCTAACAGACTCATACCCACCACTCCACAGATGTATACTAACCTCGATCTGACCGCCCTGGTCCCCTCCATTTCTTTACATCCAGTCTTCACTATCCTGTCTAATAGCACTCATTCTTTAGCGTGTATCTAAACCTGAAGACAACAATGGAACATATTGCAGCTCACCGGTCCTTTGATGTGGTGGCCGCATTAATGTCCTTTTTTTAGACTTAAATTTGACCTAGCGATCCTGCTAATAACACTCTTCCTGTACTAGGGTGACAACGCTTACTCGCTGTACTGGATCTATGGAGGAGCAGAGTTGTCAACTTACCGCAGGACTACTGAACCCCTCCTCTCTCATCTCCTTAACATACAGAGTGGTGTTCTGTAGTCCACAGAGATAGCTTGGCACAATGTAACCAATAACAGCACAGGCAGAGAGCACTGGAACAATGTAACCAATAACAGTCAGCAAAGGCAGAGAGCATGGGAACAATGTAGCCAATAACAGTCAGCACAGGAACAATGTAACCGATAACAGTCAGCACAGGAACAATGTAACCGATAACAGTCGGCTTAGGCAGAGAGCACGGGAACAATGTAACCAATATCAGTCAGCACAGGAACAATGTAACCAATAACAGTCGGCTTAGGCAGAGAGCACGGGAACAATGTAACCAATAACAGTCAGCACAGGAACAATGTAACCAATAACAGTCAGCACAGGCAGAGAGCACGTGAACAATGTAACCAATAACATTCGGCTTAGGCAGAAAGCACGGGAACAATGTAACCAATAACAGTCAGCACAGGAACAATGTAACCAATAACAGTCGGCTTAGGCAGAGAGCACGGGAACAATGTAACCAATAACAGTCGGCTTAGGCAGAAAGCACGGGAACAATGTAACCAATAACAGTCAGCACAGGAACAATGTAACAAATAACAGTCAGCATAGGCAGAGAAAACAGGAAGTTATAAGATGACAAAGTCTCTGGAAGAATTAACAGTGCAGTTATCGAGCAGATAACATACACCTTCCATTGTATATTTACCAAAACAAAATGGAGAAAATTGTACTCTTAGGGTTTACATACATGCTAAAATGGCCTACGCTAATATTATTGTATGTCACTTTAGCATGTCTTTACTGCTTATAAGCATACCTTAAGTGTCATTGGAGCATGATGAATCCGGACCTCTGAGTCACAGTCCGGGAACATGCACGCAGATTAGACCAGATTCTGAACACCTTATCTGCATACTTGTTTCCAATCACAGAGTTGAAGCCTTGAATCAATATAGCAGCCAGGTAACTAGCATTTTGAGAAGGAGAGGGGCATAATTGCAGCTTGTGGCTCTCATGAGAGGAGTACTTTCTGGTTTTAGCAATCAGTGAAATGAACTGCACTGCAAGGGTTAACTGCTTGTTAAATAAACTGTAATACTTCCACTCCCCTCGCTCCGGCAGGCTTCTGATGCTCTCATCGTTTGACGCTCCAGTGATTGTGGATGGGCCCTTGCTGGCCTCATGTACAATGCTGGATGGTTTTTAACTGTAAAGCAATGTATTTCACTATTTGCAAAAAAATAATAAACACAACTCATATCACAAAACGAAAAAATTCATTGGAGGCTGCAAAGCATTGCAACTGTGATCAGTGGATCTTGGATACAATCCCCAGGCTCCTGCACACTATTCATCCAGCCCCAGATTCATATGGGGGTACGGACCTTCGTTTATGGGGCTGGAGGAAGTAATCAATGGACTACAAGTGCTGTGACATCACCGAACCTGTGCTTCAATGAGAACTATGAGTCCCTCTGTCAGGTTTTTTGGTCACAGATCTTGTGAATGGGCCTGTATATGAATGGCGTGGCTGTGTGGGTGGAGCCTGTACTGAGGAAGTATGAAAGCCATCGTTACTGACCTCTTCCTCTGAAAATATTGGCTATCGGGCAGATTGAGTGGCTAGCGTAATTTCTGAGTAACAGACCCGGAACAAATCTGTAGATCAGGAGCTCTGATGTTTGTGATTTGCATGCTTGTTCTGCAGCGGTACAGAAAATGTTAAAGCCATAGACAGCCAGGCAACTAGCATATTCAGGAAGGGGCCATCAATGACAGACACATTTTAAGACAACAGAAACAACTGCTGAATCTGAGTACAGTACTACAGTACTCCATATATTTAAAATGTATCTAAACTCAAGAAACAAAAATGTGATGTGTCTCAACTTACCAGTCCTGGTGGTGGCTGCATTACTGTTCTTTTTCAGTCTTCTTTACCCTTTATTATCACACAGTAATCCTTCCAGGAATACACTTCCTGTCCTACAGTGACAACACTCACTGTACTGTATCTATGGCGGAGCGGCATTGTCACCCAAGGTTCCTCTACGTATTTATACTACAAACACCCCCCCCTCTCCTCTCTATTGAAGAGTATAAAAAAGGCTGTTCTGTCAGCCTGCATGATATGATAAAGGGGTTGGGTACTGAGGACCAATAAAATTCTCTGCCAATGCAAAGAAAGGGGGTACACTTGCTGAATGGGTATTTTGAACAATCTGTGAGCTTTGTTTACTCTGACTTTTTTTTTTCTGGAATGGATTACATTTTACATGTTACTGTCACTGCAGATCCCCCATCAAAGGAAAATCCCTATGAAGACATCGAGACAGACAGCCGTTGTCTAGGAAAGAAGTGTGTTCCTGGACCCGTGGCTCCTGTTCCTGGAACGCTGAGCAAGGTAAACACAATGTCTTGTAGTATTAGCCGGTCTCAGACTGCTGCAGTTAAATAATACTTACAGATCTTGTCCCATCTTCTCTCTGTGACTGGACAGCAAAAGGTGAACAGCAGACTGATGAGCTCATCTCCTCTGTCATGCTGCTCTATCCTTGTATTGGCATTCCTTGTTGGAGCATGGGCACTGCAGCCCAACTGAATATGTCCCTGTGCCCCCCCCCAATATACAGAGTGTTTCAGGGGCTTTGGGGTCCCCCTTCACCAGGGCTTAAAGCACATCTCAATCTAAAACAACAATGAAAGCAGAACTCCAGGCAAAATTTTTATTAACCCTTGCAGTGAGGCTTCCCCTGCACTGCAAGGGTTAGCTGCTCGTTTTCCTCTAGGGACTAAAGGTGCCCATACACCTTACAATTTATCTGCAGATTTTCTGTGGTCAGATGGAAAAGGTGCAACAGATTCCTCCATCTACACTTAAATGTGTGGATGGAGGAATCTCCACCTGGGCCAATCTGTTGCACTTTTTCCATCTGACCACAGAAAATCTGCAGATAAATTGTAAGGTGTGTGGGCACCCTAGGATGAAAAAGTTATACTCCCCCGATCTCCAAGCTGGCTTGCTCTTAGACCAGTCCCTCCAGCCTAGCTCCCCCTCCGCTGCAGCGGTCTAAGGATCCTTCAGTCATCACATCCAATGCACTGTATAGGATTGGGGACGCTGCGAGACATAACATCACTGAAGAGTAGGAGGAGACAGGCTGGCCGGCACAGAGCTTCGGGTGAGTATAACTTTTTTTTTTAGTCCCTAGGCTAAAACAAGCAGTTAACCCTTGCAGTCTGGGGGTAGCCCCATTGCAAGGTGTAATGCATTTTTTCCCAGAGTTCTTTAATATATCGCAGCTTACCGGTCCTTAAATGAGCTGGTGTCATTCATTTTGGTTTAAACTAAAGGGAGGACTCTAGAAGTTGGGAATTGTTGCAGCATGTGGAAGCAAACTCAGGCCAGCTGTGTGAAAGAAATGGCTATTAATGACCTGTAACTTCTTTCTTGCTCTCTCATGTTATCGCCGGGTGCAGCAGAAGCCCCCTTTCTTCAGGCAAAACTCAGAGCGGCGCAGCTTCAAGCTGTTGGACCTAAGGAAGCTGGGGAGAGATGGCGGAGCCTCTCCAAGTAAACTCAGCCCTCCGTCATCTCCGAGCAGTCCGGATGACAATTTCTTCAACAGTGGAGATCAACAGAACGGGAGACGGAGGAGGAAAATCCCAAAGGTGTGGTCAGAATTCTTGTACAAAGAAATGTATTGATTTTCAGAAAAGGGAAACCGTATCAAGTGTGTAACCTGGACACCGCATACAAAGGACAAGTAGCAGCGAATGAGAGCAGTTCATTGTCAGGGATTACATATGTTTTAACAATAAAATAAGCCAAAGGGAAGCCAAGCTAGATGGGGAGAAAACTGAAGGGGTGAAAGGAAATTAAAATGAAGCCCAACTCTGGGCTCGCCCCCCAGCATCTTGTCATCCCTTCTCTCTCCCAGAGTTAGGCTTTCGACAAACCAGTTTCTTTGCACAGCTTCATCCTGTATATTTCTTAATAGTTCCCTCTGTTGTATTTCCTCCATCTGATGTATTTCTAATTGGTGTAAACTTTCAATTTTTCTACTTTTATATAGCTGGTGATGCGGATTAATTCTATTTACGAGGCACGGCGTGGAAAAAAAAGGGTGAAGAGGTTGTTACAGTCTGCAGATAACTCTGGGAGAGGTAATTCAATCACTGTTTTCTTTTTCAAAAAGCCCGTACTCCTTCCTCTTTACCTCCTAGTTATGACTATACTATTTCTGATGCGTCATACTTCTCCATAAAGCACTGCAGGGTCAGAACTTTCTTACAGGCTGAAAAGATTCTTATGTGATAATGAATGCCTTGGACTGCCTGAGGTATTCCTCATCACCCTCTAGAGGAACTGCTTAGTAGTAGCACTGCTTAAGGAAGAACTCCTGGCATATGAAATCTTAACCATTGCACTGGGGCTACCCATGCACTGCAAGGGTCAACTGCTCGCTTTAGTCTCGGGTCTGCAGTGGTCTAAGGCCCCCTGACCATTCATTCACTTGCATTGGATGTGAGGACACCAAGGGACATTCCATAGGTGGAGCTGAGAGTGAGAGGGGTGAGCAATCCCTGTTACCGGACTGAGGATCAGGTGAGTATATCTTTTTTTAATTTTAGATCCACTGAAAGGGTTAATTTTTTTAACTGCCCAGAGTTCTTCTAGAACATCAGGGACATTAGCTGCTGTTCTCAAGCCAATGCATTGCCTGCTATTCAAGGGCAGCCCAAGTCTTGTTTTACAAAAGGGACGATGCTCACTAAAGTGATCTTTATCCTAGGCCCCAACAACTGGATGACGATGCTCACTAAAGTGATCTTTATCCTAGGCCCCAACAACTGGATGACGATGCTCACTAAAGTGATCTTTATCCTAGGCCCCAACAACTGGATGACGATGCTCACTAAAGTGATCTTTATCCTAGGCCCCAACAACTGGATGACAATGCTCACTAAATTGATCTTTATCCTAGGCCCCAACAACTGTATGACTATGCTCACTAAATTGATCTTTATCCTAGGCCCCAACAACTGTATGACGATGCTCACTAAAGTGATCTTTATCCCAGGCCCCAACAACTGTATGACAATGCCCGCTAAGATGATCTTTATCCTCGGCCCCAACAACTGTATGACGATGCTCACTAAAGTGATCTTTATCCCAGGCCCCCGAGCTGTATGGCAATGCTCACTAAGATGATCTTTATCCTAGGCCCCAACAACTGTATGACAATGCTCACTAAAGTGATCTTTATCCCAGGCCCCAACAGCTGTATGGCAATGCTCACTAAGATGATCTTTATGCCCGGCCCCAACAACTGTATGACGATGCTCACTAAAGTGATCACTATCCTAGGCCCCAACAACTGGATGACGATGCTCACTAAAGTGATCACTATCCTAGGCCCCAACAATTGTATGACGATGCTCACTAAAGTGATCTTTATCCTAGGCCCCAATACCTGGATGACGATGCTCACTAAAGTGATCTTTATCCTCGGCCCCAACAACTGGATGATGATGCTCACTAAAGTGATCTTTATCTTAGGCCCCAACAAATGGATGACTATGCTCACTAAAGTGATCTTTATCCTAGGCCCCAATAGCTGTACCATTAAAGGACAACTGTACCTGTAATACAAGTTGTGCTTTAGGGCATGTCCCCACGCCTATGATTGCAACCCGTTTGGACCAATACTTAACTCTGTCCTCATTGGTGGCCTCCAGCATTCCTGCAAAGTGCGACTCCTAGAACCCATAAAAATGAATAGGGGCACAGTGTGCATCCAAGGGATGAACATGATCTGGTGTCTGGGCAGGGCCACACGAGGAGGAAGGAAAGTATTTCTCTAGGTGGGAAAGGTACCGAGCAAAGGTACAGTTGTTCCTTAAAGTGTAACTCCAGTGCAAACATGTTTTTAAGCCTTCCAGTCAAAAAGGGTCAGAACTTCTGTCAGGTTTTAAATGCTGGAATGGTAGATGTTTGTATAAATGACCAACGTGTTTCAGAGTTTAAAGATGCCCCTTCATCAGGGCTAAAATGTATAGGATATGTTGTTGTACCGCTGAGCCTCGGTGAAGTTTGACTCGTTTAAGAATTTGCTAACTTTAATGACATGTATGCTCATACATTACAAATGTGAATCAGTAGACTGCCTGCGTGCGGTCCTTATTCTTTTGTGCTACATGCAAATGTCCCCATTGGGATTTCTACTCACTTACTGTTCTGTCTGCAACCCACCAACAGAAAGTAAAGGGGAATCCCCACAAAACATACTCCAAATTCTACTTTAAAAAATAGTGTATTGCTGTCTGTGCCCCATTGTGTAGATATCCCTCCTAGCCTGGATGACACCTGTGACAAAGACAGGAAGTGAGAAGAAATCTATAAAAATGGGGACACAGACAGTAATTAAAAATTGAGTTTCTAATTCTTCCCATGCAATCCAAAATGAAAATAAAGTTTTGTCTGGAGTTGGACCCTGGCAATTCAGGTTAGATAATAGAAATATGAAATCCTTGTTGTGTTTTAGTTACTGTCCGTAGGAATAATATGTTATCTTCTCTCTCTTTATTTTCTAGTGACAGATGACAACAGTGAATCAGACAGTGACACAGAAGAGAAGTTGAAAGGTAAAATGCTAACTGTCTTTTAATCTCCCAACATCATCATGTCACTGTACTAGGGATTTGAGCCCACAGGCAAGCGTGGGATCCCCTGGCGGCATGGAATCTAAGGGTCAGCCAGGGACTCACTCACGGAAGTTTGGACTTCACTGCGTGCTGACCCCAGGTTCACCTGCTCGCAAGGAGAGTACCCAAAGACAGTGCAGGCAGGGATCAATGATGCAAAAGGAGATCCAGATAACGAGCCAAAGGTCAAGGCAGGCAGCAGACAATCGTAATCAGGAGAACAAGCCGAGTCAGTACATGAGAGATCAATCCACAGGAAATCAGTTCAGGAACAAATGCACAGAAGGGCTCAGGAACAAGTGTTGCTCAATCAACCAGAAGCTTGAGTCTGAGAGGGATTTAGGACAGGAAGTAGCAGGAAGGAAGGTATATAAACCATCAGGTCAAGTGGGCGACACCCATAGCTACTAAGTTAGTGCAGCAAGAGCAGAGCACAAGCTTGTAGAACCACAGGTGCCAGCAGACCTACAGCAGCAAAAGGTAAAAAACAAAAACAAATGCAAAGGAGTGAAGCACAGATCAACTCTGCAGCTGATCTGACAGTCATCCTTCACTATAATGGGCCTTTTTCTGTTAGGTCCAATCTATCACAAACCAACAGCTGAATGGAAGGCCAAACCCCTGAGCTGCGAGATGTGAACAGCTTCATTGAAATGCATTTGAAGAGCTACATTGAGCGATAGTTGACCCATTCTTAAGCGGAAATCACGCTACAAATCGCCCAGTGTGAATGGGGTCTTATGGCCAGTGCACACCTATGCGACACCCCACCGCGCGGCAATCGTTCATGATTCCACGTGGATTGCTGCCCGGTCAGGAGTGGTATAGGTGTGCATCGATTGCGCTGTGGGTGCCAATATTTTCCAATGGCACCCCAGTTCTGCCGGGCGGATCGTGGGTTTTCCTGCCGCCATTCGCCCATGCATCGTGTATCGCAGAAAAAGGTTACTTGTACCTTTTTTCTGCGATATGCAACTGGGGGGCCATTGGAAAATGGGACCCTTGGCGCGATCAGTGCAAACCTATACGGCTCCTGACTGCGCAGAACCGTGTACGATTGCCGCATAGGTGTACACCGGCCCTAAGTGTTATCAGGTTACAGCTGAGGAGGCACTCTGGGATTTTTGACTGCATTAGGCATACAGGATTAGTTTCCATCTGGTGGACTGTAGAAAAAGTTTGCAGGACAATAAACTTACACTGCTACATTAAGGCTGGGTTCACACCTAGGCGTACGGAATATACACGTTTGCCGCGCGTTTCGACCGCGATTTGCAGTAAATGAGAAACAAACGCGCGTTTCTGAGGGCTATCCGGCTGTATCCTAATTGATACACGCGGCAAATACGCCCCAAAGAAGCTCCTGTACTTCTTTGGGCATAGGGCGTTTTGCAGCGCCTTCCTACGCCCCTGTAAAAAGCCCAGGTGGGAACCATGCCCATAGGCAATCATTGGTTTTCACATGTTGAGCGTTTTACAGCACGTAGGAACGCGCTGTAAAACGCCCAGGTGTGAACCAGGCCTAATGCTCCTTACTGCAGAGAGGGGCATATGGATCCTGATATTCCTCCAGGAGATTCACAGTTTGCCTTCCTAATGGGTCCTTATCCCACCCCAGGCCCTATAGCAGACTCATGGGCCGCTGTTGCTATTTTTATACCACTGGAGCCCGTGTCAGGTTTTCCTATGTTTTAGTTTTTTTGCCATCTATGTCCCATTAGGGAGATTTCGCTTTCACTTCTTGTGATGGAAACACAACAGGGAGTGAAAACTCTCTCCAATGTCAGTTGTCACTAGAACAGGTGTTCACTTTGGAAGATTGATCCTTTATTTCTGGTCTGGTGATTAATTGTAAACGTTTGGATTTGGGCATTAGGACAAATATAGGGGTAAATCTTCCCAGCTGTGACCTATAGAGCAATAAAAACTCAACATTCTAATTCTCGCTCATGCTCTTTGTGGGCAGTCTTAATGTCGATCATTATTAACACCGTCGCAATAGATATATAGCCTAAAGTAGGCACTTTATTCAATATATTAAGGGGGAAGCTCTAAGGTCTACCCCCTTTCAGAGTACCCCTTTAATTACATGTACACCCGCTTCACAGTAAAACCACCCAGTTAATAAGAAGTGAGATCGATTTGTAGACAATATTCTAAGACAAACACATGTTTGCATCCGTTTCCATTCTTGGTGTGAGACTTTAGTTAAACATTATTTACAATTAAAAGGATTAAGAAGCCAAAAAAATTGTACATTCTATTTTTATTGTATTGCTCTGTGTTGCAGCACACAGCCAGCGGCTGGTACATGTCAAGTCCAGAATGAGCCTCACCCCGCGGTACCAAACTTTGGAGCGAGATCTCATAGAGTATCAGGAGCGGCAGCTGTTTGAGTATTTTGTTGTGGTGTCCCTGCAGAAGAAGTCTCCCAGTACAGTGTATGCTCCAGAGATCACCCAGCAGTTCCCACTCAAGGTAACTGGTTCAGACCATTCTTAGTTGTCTGAGGATGTGTGTTACACTATACTACCTGGTAAACTTTAGTGTCTGGGGAAGTCATGCTATTTGTCTACCTGCTTTAGAACAGACATCAAAAGATGCTGGGGTTTTGTTTTTTAAACAACTCTGGGGGTAAAAAAAAATGTACTAACCCTTGCAGTGGGGCAACCCTCAAACTGCAAGGATTAAGCGCTCGTTAGTGTATAGGGTAAAAAACAAAAAAGTTGTACTCAATTGATCTTCGGAGACAGCCAGCTCTTATGGTTAGTTCACACCATATGCAGTGCGTTCCGGTCCAATTCTGGCCGGAACGCACTGCATTGCGTTCCAGCCGGTTCACTTTTTTGTGGGGTAGGAGGGGGCGTGGCGGGCCATTGAAGTGAATGGCACCAATTCTGGCCGCAATGCGATCGCACGCACGGGATCGCAAGGCACATTGTGCCTGTGGTCCGGTGCGGTGCGATCAAAATGCTGCAAGCAAAACAGTGTAGGTAATGGGACCATTTCTTCAACACCTTCCTGTTATTGGCTGTATTATTTGCCTGTCAGTCTGAAAAAGTAAGAAAAAAAAAAAGCAGGGGACTTGCAGCATAGATATGCTTATAAAACAGTGTCTACTTGTTTCTAGAGACAACTTACATGCATCTGGTTGGAGAAATCTTTCTAATAACACCTGCTTGTACAATGCACAGCACTGGCCTATGTGTAATTTGTATCTTTTCTCACTAACAGACTTGTTATTGTCAACAAGCCAGGATAACTGCTATTAAGTGTTAATTACAGAGCAGCAGGGCGGTGTGTGTTTATAGACGGGGCGACTCCCACACTGCGGGATTTAACATTTGATGTTTATACTTCAGCTGGAGCGATCGTTCAAGTTCATGCGGGAAGCCGGCGATCAGTTTAAAGCCATTCCACAGTTCTGTTTCCCAGATACTAAGGACTGGACACAGGTGACAGAGTTTGACAGGTAACGTGCACATCTACAATGGGGCACAAAATGTAACCTGTTCAGTTTATTTGTTGTGACCGTGCATTTAATAAAGTGATTCACACAGACCAATAACCTGATTGTTAGGCCTCTGGTACCCAACCTACTGCTTGCTCTGTGGTACTTCAGACCCCAGCAGTTAGTGGGGGAGTGGGAGCATTGGTTTGTAAGGGGACTGTACTGGCAATGATCTCCAGCAGTCTCTTCTGATCTATCCCCAGAATGTGTCCTGCAGCATAGGTTTTAAGTCTCCTCTGCTCCATTCAAAATGATGGGGGGGGGGCTTTAGATATACTTTAACCACTGCTAGTTTAGGTTAATATGCTGTTAACTTAATCTGATAAATCATTATTCCACACATGGGATGCAAACAATGAAAGTGGATGTCTGGAGAAAACAGAAACCTATTCAGTACATGCACATTTCCTTAGGATTTGTCTTTTAAAAAGAATACTGCGTTTACAGAAAAATACCTGTTGATCAGTCAGAAATCCAAGGAGCTCCTAACTTTCCTTTTTAAGCTGACACAGTACTACTGCTGTACTGAAATCTCAGGCAGTGTTGTCAGCCCTACCTGAGTTCTCACTGCCAGACTACAGAACTTTATTATAAATTATAAATCTTATCCCCTTATGTTATGGAGATAAGGAGAGGGGAAGACGTTTTGTAGTAAAGGATTGATATTTGGAGATTGGGGCTGACCGGCCAGTCCAGCCTGAATATTAATCCTTCAAAGTACTTCAGCAGAAACCACAAGATCAATGTCTCAGCACTGGTCACATCCATCTACTGCTCTATTCCAAATCGCCTTCTCGACTAACAAAAATATTTTCCCCCTCTAACTTTTAATTACGGCATGTGGGGTTAATATTTCCCTGTGCTTCCATTTTTGGGTATAGGCCCATTTAAAAACAAATGTGTACATCCATAGTTCATGCTACCTGAGCCTTACCAGTAGTCCTGCACTGAGTTCACAACCTTTGATATCTACATAGTCAGCTGCAGAATTTCATGGTATGCCATTGGAAGGGGGTGATCACATGACCATGTACACCCATAACCGGCTGTCCCAGGTCTGCCATAGGCTGCCCTATTTTTATTGTGTGAAATGCTCAGTAGATGGCTTCAATAAAAGCATGAAAAGCCTACAAGAGAGTATGTAGGATTCCTCACATAACTATGAAACTTTATTATTTCTTTTTAGTGAGACTTTCTCGTTTGTGCTGACCGGTGAAGATGGAAGTCGGAGATTTGGTTACTGTAGGCGACTTTTGGTAAATAAAACTTAATTCTGTCTATGAACTAAAACTCTGCGCACAAGCTGAAGCAAGTGTAAATTAGTGTCCCTAAACTATAAAATGTCCTTAACGCTACCCCCTGTAACCCTTTCTTTGCCCCAACCCCTAAAGCCCAGTTTCAACTGCTGTTCTTTTTATTTAATTATGATTAAAGAGAATTGATAGAACTTTGTTTTTTATTGTTGTCTGGAAATTCACTGGGAATATTTTCCTCAACTTACTGTCCCTGTGACACCAGGACAAGAATGAGAGGGAACAGGGGTCACCTGGACAGGAAGTATGGGGATATCTCCACAGAGTGGACATAAAATCAGTTAACACCTGTCAGAGGTTCTAACCCATCCCTGAACTATTCCTACGGCAAAACAAACCTTTTGGCTGGACCTGGGTTTTACCATGTAATGTAACCCCAAAGATCTTGCCTTCGTTACTAATTTGTACACTCATCATTCAACGTTTTACCCTTTAAGATAGTAGTAGTTGGTCATATTCAACTGGACTTGTCTGTTAATTTTAAACACGTTTCGTAGCTTTTTCAAGCCACGTCTTCAATTTCAATAAGTTTGTGTATAGGGATTAGATCAGGTTCGGGCCGAACCTGAGCTCCTCCAAACACTGAGTGGGCCGGATGCAGTGACATAATTGACCTTATATGGCTACAAAGCTATATTAGGTGAAAGACGTTTACCTAATGTGGCCATATAAGGTAAAAGACATCAGCACAAGCATCTGGCCCCACCCCCTTTGTTTATGGTCAGCTGCGAGGCTCGGAATGCGCCAGTCTGCAGCTGATTGGGCAGGGGTAGCTTCCATGTTCAGAGTAGCTCAGGTCCAGACCGGGTTTAGTCCAAACATGAGCTCATCCCTAGTCAGGAAAATACCCCAGCATTATATCCACACAGGTAGCATAGGCACCTTAACCCAATCATCACAGAATAAGTCAAGGCAGATGTTAAATGTCCAAAAACAGGGTGGGAGGTGTGAAGTTGAGGCTTCGATAACTGCATCTTTAACATTATGGAATAAGTCCAGTTGCATGTGACTACTACTAGCTATACAATGATCTGACAAGATGAAAACCTTCAGACCTTTACCCCTTAAGATAAATTCTAGACTGGGCACATACTGTAACTGTTCTACTAAACCCTAAAGCAAGCGTTCCGTTTTATGGTTTGTTTGTTTTCTTTCGAAGGCAGCCACAGCTTGAGGAGAAAAGCATGTCCCCTGCCAGCATGCTGCAGAGAAGAACACCTGCTCTGTGTGGAAGCAGTGGTCTCTCTGCAGAAGTCTGATAGTCCTCCTACTGAGTCAGACTTATAGCTCTGCAATCAGGAAAACTCATGCTCCCTGCTGATTGTAGAACTCTGAAGAGGTGTATTAAAGGAGAACTATGGGGTCAGTGTTTTTCCCCATAGTTCTCCTTAGGGTAACGGGAGGACACAAACTAGCATCCTCCCGTTACCCTAAGCTCAGTATACCGCGAGCTACAGCGTAGGCTGCTTTTCAAAGAAAATCAACACTTTGCACACCTTTTTGTTGGACTTGGAATGTATTTAGCTTATTTAACCTGAAAGTTCAATTGCGCTTTGAGTTCTACTCGGGCAACGATGTGTTTTGTCGTGCGGGCGCCCTATTTTGTACTTTGCCCTTTGAATTCTACTGCCAAAACTCTGTTTGGTATAGGCAATGTTTCCTTTGTAGGAATGTTTGAGAGGAGGGCCAGGAGAAGTCACGGCCACTGGGCTGTGACTGAAACAGTTTGGAAGATCTTTGAACCCTCATTAAACCTTAATGTTCCTGTAGAGGTAACAAAATACAGATTACATCATGTGCTTCACTGTAAAACAAGCTAAAAAGAATAAGACACCTGTACCCACATTAAATGTTTGTAATAGTGATGCAGCTGCAGAGAAAAGTTCGAGCATGCTTTGCCTCTAACCTTCCATTTTGTTCCCACAGCCCAGCGGGAAGGGGAAGAGATTTCCTGAAGTCTACTGTATTGTCAGCCGGTTGGGCTGCTTCAACCTCTTCTCAAAGGTACATAAAGGTGTAGGAAAGCTGTTTTGGTGGGCAGGGCTGGATTTACTCTGCTGCCCCAAGGCCAGGTTCCTCAACAGCCCTGCTTGCCCAAAGCAAGGCTAAATGTAGAAGACAACTACCTGCCCAGCGCCTAGAATGTCATGTCCCGGTCATCGGGAGATAGGAATTCCACACCCCTGCTGCCCCTCTACTCCCTGCTACCCTGAGGCCAGGCCTTGTGGGAAATCCAGCGCTGGTGGTGGGTAAGGGGATAGATTACTTGATTACATTTTGATAGGAGCACATTAAAAGATGAAAATGAAAGGGTAGTATGGGTACCATGATAGCAATGCTTGCTTCTCATCAACAGTATGAGGGTATTGATCCTCCTGTATAGCTATTTTCAGAGGTTCACAATTCTTCAACATTGCAGTTAAAAAATTTTGTATAGCCATTTACAATATATCCGTGTTGGATAAAATAGCAAGCCCCTTTTTTTCTGTGCTTTTTAGGAGTTTTCTCCGTCTTTTCACTTTCTATTCTTTAGACCAAACAGAAAGCGCTAATCCCTCTTGGACTGTTATCATCTGAATAAGTATCCCCATTGTAAAATTTCTCTTTATTTTAAAGAAAATGTTTTGGCTTTTTTTTTTTCATTTTCACTACTGATACTATTTAAAACTCCACTTGTGCCAATTCTTGCAGATCCTGGATGAGGTGGAGAAAAGGAGAGGCCTCTCTACAGCTCTTGTGCAGCCATTCATGAGAGCCATCATGGAAGCCCCATTCCCAGCTTTAGGAAAGAAGATTACGGTGAAGAACTTCCTGCCTGGGTCAGGAACTGAGGTATGGGGGTGTGCTGTATGGGAAGCCATGTAAAAAGGAAATTACATTGGTGCAAGAAGGTTCTTTACCTGTGACCGGCAAAGCTGTCCCCTGAGCTTTTATTGGTGGAATATTCCCCAGCTATGATTGACAGGTGCATTCCCCCAAGCTATGATTGGCACGAGAAATCTTTCAAGCTGTGATTGGCACAAATAATTTTTCCTAACTGACCGACTGGAGAATTCCCCCAGGCTATGATTGACCGCTGTGTTTTGGCAGAAGTCATCTCCCAAACTGATATGCAAAAGAATTCTCCCAGGCCCAGATTGACAGGAGAATTTACTCAATCTATAATTGAGAGGAAAATTCCTCCAGTCTGTGACAGGCAGGAAAATCCTCCCAAGTTGTGATTGCCAGGATAATTCCCTCAACTTATATTTGACAGAATTCCCCCACGCCGTGATTGGCGGGAGAATTCCCCCACGCCGTGATTGGCGGGGGAATTCCCCCCCGCCGTGATTGGCGGGGGAATTCCCCCCCGCCGTGATTGGCGGGGGAATTCCCCCCCGCCGTGATTGGCGGGGGAATTCCCCCCCGCCGTGATTGGCGGGGGAATTCCCCCCCGCCGTGATTGGCGGGGGAATTCCCCCCCGCCGTGATTGGCGGGGGAATTCCCCCCCGCCGTGATTGGCGGGGGAATTCCCCCCCGCCGTGATTGGCGGGGGAATTCCCCCCCGCCGTGATTGGCGGGGGAATTCCCCCACGCCGTGATTGATGCAAGAGTGCCTTGGTCTGGATTTAATAAGCATTTTGTATTTGGCGGGAGTGTGCCTCACCTCTGCTCTCTTCCTAGGTGATTGAACTTTGCCGACCTCTGGATTCGAGACTGGAACATGTGGATTTTGAAGCGCTATTCTCCACGCTCAGTGTACGGCACCTCATACAAGTCTTCGCCTCTCTCCTTCTGGAAAGAAGAGTCATTTTTATGGCAGAAACTCTCAGGTAGAAAAAAAAAACAGACCCATTGACAATAATAGTATATGAAAAAACCACTACTATAATGCAGTTGTGTGCTTTTTTTTTTTTTTTAACCTCTGCATCATGAAAATGACCTGTTGTGAATGTTGCTGCCACATATTACACCACAAACAAAGAAATACGCGTTTGAAAAACACTTGTGCATGTAAACTACACATAGATTACCAAAAATGAATATAGTAACGTGCATCAAAAATATGTGGTTGAATATAGGTAAGATTATAGGGATCCTAAATGATGGGAGGCAAGGAGGGGAAGGAAATGATGGGAGGAAGAAGAGGAAGAAGCAGGGGAAGGAAAAGAGGAAGAAGGTGGGTAAGGAAGGAGTGAAAGAAACAGGGAAGATGGCATGGAAGGTGAGAAGGAACAGAGATAGGGAAGGGAAGAAATAGACGGAGAGAAAGGAGGCAGGGCACCCACATAACGCATTTTGTCTGGTTCTTGTATCTCTGGCTTTAGCCTCAGGAAGGGTTAATAGACTGCTAGCAGAGATGACCAGACAACCTGAATGCCATAAATCAACTCTCAGATGAGGGAAGCCATGGAGACCTCTTACCTAGACACAGCATAATCCCAAAGACTCTTCCTGTGCATGCCTCTGACATCAGCTCTTCTAGACTGGAGACCACACAAGGGATCAGGGTTGTCAACTGCAACTTCTCTATTTCTTAATGATACAGCACTGGATCTGTTCTCCTCACATGGACACAGATTTTCAGTACAAGTCGCTCACAACAACCTCCCTTGTAGGGACCCTTCCAGCCCACAGACCCCATAGCAGCTGCTATATAGGGCTACTATGGCTATAGTTACACCACTGGATGGAGAGGAAGAA